ATCATGTAATCTAATGTCTAGTAATATATTGTATGAATAGATTCACTCATCGAGAGAATTGGTGGCAAAGACGGACAGATCGGGAACAGAAGCTGATTGTGGCCATCATATTCCTGTCCGCCCTATCATTCATACTCTTTATTACTGTTATAGTATTGGCCGCAAAACTACACAATAGCTGAATGATAGACAAAATGCCAACACTTGTGACAATCATAAAGTCATCATTACTTATAAAAACTTATGAAAATTGCTATATTCTTCAATACGATATGCGTTTCGACGGGAATTCATTGTTACGATTGAAAACACAAAAAATCAATTTAAGTAAATATTTGTGAATTATATAAATGATATGGTTATTGAAATTATGCGATTTCTTGTTGTTTAAGATTGTTTTGCGAGTTTATTAATATTTTATGATTCATAACAAGTGATTATATATATATTTTTATGTAATATTTATTATCTTTACGTTTACTTTATATGAATAACTAAATAAATTAAATTAGAAAAATAAATGTAAAATTATTTTTAAAATTTCCAAATTTAAATGCTATTCATTTAAATCATTTCCTTGAAAATGATAATCAAAAATCTAAATGCCATTAATATAAGGAAAATGCCTCTAAAATTAATATTATAATTGGCTTTTTTTAAATTTTATTATCATTTTAATGCATAAAGTACAATATAAATGAATATTCAAAACAAATTCAATAAACATATAAAATATATTTTATATATTGTAAATATTATGAATAATTTAAGCAAAATTTAAAAAACATTTAAAAATATGAACAAAATTCTGGTTCTGGTACTAATGTTTAGGTTTACCGGTCCTCCAATACATAGCCAATGCATACAGTAGTCTATTGAATAGCTATTATGGGATGTAATGGTAAGGTGTGTGCCCTCTGTCTGATGTGCCGTTCAATACACTGTAAATGTAGTGTTGAGTCAATACATTGCATGTTATTTGAATGCATCACTCATTGCAATCACAGTCAGAGACACTCTCTTATAGTGAACTCACTTTTCATTCAATATTCAATACAAATTCAGTTTTAGTCAAACCACTCGTTATAGTGAACACAATTGTGTTAACCATTTGTCTGTGCCTTTAATCTTAACGTCAAGTCTATTATTATATAATATATAATCACAACAAAACCAATTGCAAAGTCTGTCCCCAAAAGCCAAGTCTTTCATCACTAATAAAAGTAAACAAAAGTTTTTTGTTTTCATTTTCTTTAAAACATTTATTTTGTAACAATTTATTCATTTTTTGTGTTATTTTTCAATTGAAAAGTATTTTTCACATCAAATACTGGTTTTATTATTGCATAATATATTTCATTATAATTACAATTAAGTATCGCTTTTGTAATTCATTTTACTTTTATTTTGTTAATTAAATTTTAATTTTATTATATTTAGCGTTAAATTGTGTGCAGATTTTTGTGCCAATTATTGAGTTTATAATACATTTTGTAATTTAATATAAATAATCAAATGATAAGAAATTTGAGAAATCATTTATCGCTCGCCTTTTTTGAGGCCAGAAATCAATGAAAACATGTATTTATTTGTTATTATTTTCATTTCATATACTCTTGAGATTACATATTGAGAGCACTTTCTCTCTCCCTATCCCTCCCTTTGCCTCAAATATTAATGTAAATATTTGTCACATTATTATTATCTGTGTATTAGTCCACAGGAAATATACACCAAATCAGTTGCCATCAAAGCCGTAGACCAAAGTCATCGACAGTAATAACAATGAGTCTTAAGGAAAGTCTATTCAAGTCGACGAAAGAGAAGACATTCGCCAACGAAGAGTCGTTGCCATCACTACCGGTGCCCACACTTCGGCCAACACTGGACTGTTATCTGGACTCAGTTCGCGCCATCGCTGGTGACCAACAGTACGAGACATCGGCGGAGATGTGTCGCCGATTCGAGGCCGGCGTCGGACTAACGCTTCAACACATGTTTGAGAAACGGACACAAAATAGCAAGAATTGGGTATAAAATTGTTTCACACAAAAACAATTAGTGAGTCCACAAAATAATCTGACAAAACATATGGTAAACCCATTGTTTAGTTAACCAATTGGTGGTTAGATTATGCATATCTCATGCAAAGGTCGCCATTGATTCCCTTCTCCAATATTAACGGTGTTTTCCCTNGGTGGTTAGATTATGCATATCTCATGCAAAGGTCGCCATTGATTCCCTTCTCCAATATTAACGGTGTTTTCCCTTCATTTGACTTCTGGCCCCATAAGAGCGGCACTCGGACCCAAAGGGCCGCCCTCTTCGGACACTACACTCTTGAGTTTCATCATATGTTGCGAAAGTAAGCCCTATATAACCATTATATCGCTGTTTTAACTTTCCATTCATTATATTAATTGTGTTTTTTTATTTAGGGAACAATTAAGAGTGACTAAAATCAAAGGCAACATCTGGTCGATGGATCAGTTCAGGTATTTGTTCAATACATGTCGAATACCCGGCGAAGAAAAGGATACACTTATCAATACGTTTAAAACTGGTTTGTTATACATTTAGGACAAGAAATGATGATTATTTGAATTAATATTTGGTTTACATTTGATTTAATTGTGTAGAAAATGAGGGACCGATGCCTTCGACCATATCTATAGTGCTGTGCAGAGGATATATCTTTGCCTTTGATTACATAGTCGACGGCCAATATCTGACGGCACCTGAAATCGAGACTCAACTCAATTA